CTGTGCCCCTAAGGATCTGGCCACACACACCCCTGCAGGGGCAGGTGGCGTGTCCCCATCGCGGGCCGGGCAGGCTCTCACGTCCCTGCCTACCAGAGCCAGGCACAGGCCAGAGACCTTACTCCCCACCAAGTGCCCCGACACCTTCTTGGTGCTGAGCACTGCTCCCCTGAGCTGCCGGGCTGTGCCAGCGCCCAGCACACCACCTGTTGCCTCTGCCAGGAGCCTGGGCATGAAACCTCTGGGCAAGCCATGTGGTGGGATGGTGCTGGCTCCAGGCTGCAGGGACAGGGCCGGAATGGAGACACCCAGGAGATGGAGCTTCCATGAAACCTCCTGTGGAGAGGTGGAGGAGAGGTGTCTGTGGGAGACTCCCCCGCAAGCTCAGCCCAAATTAACCTCTTCCCCAATGTCTGCCCCCCTCCGATTAGCCCTGGCCCCTATGGCCAGCCCCAGTCAGGAGTGGGGTTATGAGCTAGGGGATGGGGCAGGCAGGCTGAGCAAAGGGGAGGCAAAGAGGGGATCAGGGGTCTCTGTGCCCTGTGATGTGGGGATGGGGCTACTCATCCTGTGCAGTTCAAGAGCATGGGTCACAGTGCTCAGTGCAAACTCAGCCTGTGACCCCCCCCACCAGTGCCAGTGCAAATCCAGCCTGAGACACACACCCCCAGCACCTGTGCAAACCCAGCCTGTGACCCCCTCACCCATGCCTGTGCAAACCCAGCCATTGACCCCCCCTCCCTGGCGCCGGTGCAAACCCAGGCAGTGACCCCTGGTGGCCCCAGCTGTACACATACCCATGCTTTCCAGCACCCTAATTTATTGGAGAGAAGAGAGCACCTGTGATTTATTGGACTGTGAGCTAAACACAAATCAGGAGAATCCCAAGCATTGTTACAGGCTGGTGACCGACTGGCTAGCAGCAGGTCAGCAGAAAAGGACCTGGGGGTTACAGTGGATGAGAAGCTGGATATGAGTCAAGGTGTGCCCTTGTAGCCAAAAAGGCTAATGGCATATTAGGGTGCATTAGGAGGAGCATTGCCAGCAGATCTAGAGAAGTAATTATTCCCCTTTATTCAGCTCTGGTGAGACCACATCTGGAGTATTGTGTCCAGTTCTGGGGCCCCCCACTACAGGAAGGATGTGGATGCATTGAAAAGGGTCCAGTGAAGGGCAACCAAAATGATGAGCACATAACCTATGAGGAGAGGCTGAGGGATTTGGGCTTATTTAGGCTGCAGAAGAGATGGGTGCGGAGGGATTTGGTAGCAGCCTTTAACTACCCTGAAGGGGGGTTCCAAAGAGGATGGAGAGAGGCTGTTCTCGGTGACAGATGCAGAACAAGGAGCAATGGTCTGAAGTTACAGTGGAGGAGGTCTAGGTTGGATGTTGGGAAAAATTATTTCCCTAGGTGGGTGGGGAAGCACTGGGGTGGGTTCCCTAGGAAGAGGGTGGAATCTCCATCCCTAGAGGTTTTTAAGTCCCAGCTTGACCAAGCCCTGGCTGGGATGTTTGAGTTGGGGTTGATCCTGCTTTGGGCAGGGGGCTGGACTCAATGACTCCTGAGGTCTCTTCCAGCCCCATGAGTTTATGATTGTTGCAATCACTGTTCTGTGTTTGCACCAAAGCTTGTACAAAGTGAGCCTAGTGAGTTATCTAGTGAGAGACGACAATTCACTGATTCTAATTGTGCTGCTCATAGACAGGACTTCTTTCTGTATGTGACATTATGAGTATCGTGGCTGTACTTGTATTTCAAATATTTGCTCCTGGGAGACACCACCAGACTTGACCCACCTATTGTGAAAGGGTGGCCAGCCAAGTGACTAGGGGTGCTTTGCTGACAATGCACCTCAATGGTGCCGATCCACCTCGGCTGAGCTTTGCTGTGACTACTCATCTCGGCATGTTCACAATGGCCACTTGTCTAAGAAGGACATGGACAGTGATTGGTTCATGTGACAAACTCTATCTTAGGGACATGCTTTCACTTAGCAAGAACAATGGGAGTCCCTCCACGTGGGCAAGGGTATTAGAAAAGCCCTGGAGGAGCCTCCATTTGTCTTCAATCCTGTCTTCAAGCCAGCTCATCGCCTCTGAAGGGTCTCAGCTGTGAACTGAAGCCCAGAAGGACGAATGACCCATCCCAACAGAGGATGTGTTCCAGAGATTTGATCTAAAATATCAGACTATCCTATCTCTGCTATGGGCCTGCACCAAGCACTGTGCAATCGGTGGGTGTGTTCGATTCCTTTTAGAACTTTAATCTTTTCTTTCTCTCTTTTTGTGAATAAACCCTTAGAAGTTAGATTCTTTTGGGCAAGAGCTGAGGCATAAATAGTCCTGGGAGTGTGGCTGGTCGGAAGAAACTGTTTGGATTTGGGGAGACTGGTTTTCAGTACCTCACATCTGTGGTGGCTCGGGAAAGCTGCAATGTCTAAGGGGATTGTTTGTGTGACTTCCAGCTGGCCAGAGTGGCAAACAGAGGCGCTCTGGGCCTGGTTCGGTGCCATAGGGAGGCAGAGCCCCAGTCCTGGGCTGCAAGTAGCCCTGTCTCTAAGCAATTTGCCCTGATCTGACCCTCTCAGCAGTGCCCTAGAAATGCCCTTGTTATGCAGCCCAGCCCATTAGTTCTGGGACCCCCTGCTGGGGCTGCCCACCAGTGGACTGCTGCTCGGCAGGACCATGATGTTTTGCAGGTAGATGCACTGGCCTAGGGTTGTCTGGGAGCGGCTATGGCCCTCAGTGCTGTCGCCAAGCAAGCCCCAGGCCCGTAGATTGTCAATCACCATCATGCGCTGGAAGGTCTCAGTGGCAAAGTAATAGGCCAGCGGGTCCAGAGCGGCATTGGCCGAGGCAACTAGCAAGGTGCAGCGGTAGGCTACGTCCAGCGCTTCACTCTGCAGGTCCTGCACCTGGTAGCAGAGCAGCACCAGATGGAAAGGCAGGAAGCAGCCCAGGAAGATGGTGACGTTGGCCACGATCATGCTGCGGATCTTGGCGCTGTTGACCAGTTCCATGCGGGCGGCCGCACTGCGGCGCACAGCCCGCAGCAGAGCCCAGGAGCACAGCATCATGACCAGGAGCAGCACAGCAAAGCAGAACATCATGGCAAAGGAGACGCCGCGCTGGGTGACGTACTGAGGCCGGCTGTCAAAGCAGGAAGTGAAGTTATTATGGTCTTTCTGGGTGAAGTAGGTGGGCACAGTGCCAGCACAGCTCACCAGCCAGACGCCCAGGCAGATGTACTTGGCCTGCTTGCGCAGCGCCTTGACCCGGGCATGCATGGGGAAGCAGACGGCCATGCAGCGATCCCAGCTGATGCAGGTGAGCAGGAAGATGCTGCCATACATGTTGAGTAGCAGCAGCAGGCCCGTGAGCTCGCAGACCTGGCGTCCCAGGCAGGGCTGCTTGCTGTAGTAGTAGATGCGGACAGGCAGCGAGACCACCAGCAGCAGGTCGGACACGGCCAGGTTCTTCATGTAGACCGTGGTGAGGGAGCACACGCTGCTGCAGCAGCAGAAGATGTAGAGCGCGACCAGGTTGAGCACCAGCCCCAGTGTGAAGATGATGGTGTAGAGCCCCACGAAGACAGGGACCGCCGAGACACCCGGGGTGCAATTGGAGGTCATCTCAGAAAGCACCATGGGACAGAGAAGCTGCGGCAGGTTCCCACAAGGCTCAGGAAAACAGGCTCCACCTCACCTGGGATGGTCCCTCCCTGTCGCTCTGTGCGCACACCAAGCAGTGCCTGGCCTCAAACTAGGAGAAAACAGGAAACAGGTGAGTTTGGCCCACTGGCCCCGGGCCAAAGCACCGCCCAGGAGTACAGGCATTTGTGAGAGCATGGTGGAGTCCTGCACACCCCACTCTGGGAATCCAGCACTGCGCTCCTGCCCACACGCCCGCTGGTGCCTGAGCCTGTAAGGAGCAGATAGAGAGAAATGCCCAAATGGAAACTCCGCCTGGTCTCGGTGTCAGCTGCTCCCTGCATGCTCACGGTAGGCCTGTGCGCACGAGAGTAAAACACTAGCTGGAAGGTTACAGAATAACACGAGTTTATGGGTTCGACGCCAGCACACACAACCCAAGCAGAGCGAGTGGGCAAGCAGGCTGCTGTGTGAAGCAGAGAGAGTGAGGACACCCAAGCACCTCACAGGGAGCTGTCTCTTTAAGAGACCCCTGTGCGGGAGGTAGGAGTGAGTTGAGTGTTGCTGTTGCTGGGCAGCTTTAGCCTCCACACCCAGAGGCTTCTGGAGCTGGGTGGGGTAGTTTGGGGTAAGACTCCAGGAGCCAGTAGGCAGGGCAGCTGCTTGTCTAAGGGCTGAGCCAGGAGCAGAGAGCAGGTTGCGGTGCCTCACTCTGCAGCGGGCAGTGATGGTGCTAACCCTCTCCCAGGGATCACGGGCAATGCTACTTAGAGCAAGGAGAACCTGGGAGGGAAAATCCCCCTGGATCCCCAGTACTGCTGTGGGGTTTTTTTAGACACTGGAGAAGGGCAAGGAAGCCTAGCCCACTCAAGGTTACACGAGTAGGCTGCCCTGTGAAGCAGAGAGGCCCAGCTAAGCCCACTTTGTGGTAAACATCTGGGCTTCGTCTACACTGGCACCCTTTTCCGGAAATGCTTAAAACAGAACAGTTTTTCTGTTAAAAGTATTTCTGGAAAAGCGAGTCTACATTGGCAGGATGCTTTTCCGGAAAAGCACTTTTTCTGGAAAAGCGTCCGTGGCCAA